CATTAATGAGATGAAGGTCCTGTACTAATCAGTAGGAGCCATCCGGTTTGCAGATAGGCAAAATAGGGGTGTTATAAGGTTAGTTGGCACCAGGAGTCCCTTCCTTTTCAAGTACTTTCTTATCCAGAGGAAACCAAATTTTTCCCAATTCCTTTTCCAAGACTTTCTTAACTACCCTCTTTACAATTCCTTGAATTCCATTCCTCAAGCTTTCTCTACTACCCTCTTTACAATTTCTTGAGCTTTTTTGTGGCTACAATATTTTTCTTTGGTTTGTGGAACTGGGTTATTTCAGAACTGCCTCAGGGCATCGCTTGGGTGGAGAAGTTTGCTAGATTTTAAGGCTAAGAGCAGGGCTGGGTCTCATTCCTCTTAGTACCTCCATTGCATATATCAGGCAAGTAAGAGGGCCCTTCGCTGGTGGCTGGGAGGGAAGTCCTTCAACTCCCATAACTGAAACCAGTGAAGGAATTGGGGGGCCCGAGTAGGAAGGGAGGACCAAATAGGTAGCCCCCTTATCATTGTCCAAAAAGGAAATGGCCTTTCCCGCTACCTGGATCGTTACCCTAGGCTGGAGGAGGGTGATCGGGGACAGCGAAGCACGGCATCCTCAGTCTTCAGCGGCCAGGCCCAAGACGAAATGCGGCAGGTCAGGGGAGGGAAGGACTGTACCCCCGTGGCTAGGCGTAGAGGGGCAGTCAGGCTTCCAGTGTTCCTTCTGATCACACAGTGGACATGGTGTCTGAGGAGGACCGGGTTTAGGGTATCGCCTTACCCAGTGCCCCTCCTGGCCACATTTGAAGCAGGGTCCAGGTGGTTGGTGCTTTTCTCCAGAACCATGCGTTGTACGTGGCTTCAGGGCAGTGACCAGAGCTTGGGCTTGGTAGGCCGCCTTTTGGTGAGAGGTGGCTTCCCTATCAGTCTTTTCCTGTTCCTTATGGGCATGGAATACTTTAAAGGCCATGTTCACCAGGTCACCCATCGTGTTTGAGGGCCATCCTCAGCCTTTTATAGTGTTTTCTTTATGTCTGGCGCTGACTGAGAAATAAAATGAGAGGCCAAAAAGCTGGCCCAAGGCGGAGAGGTGGGGTCCACGTGGGTGTACTTAGTCAGGGCTAGATGTCTAGCTAGAAAGGCAGCAGGGTTCTCATCCCATAGTTGAGTAATTTTCCACAATTTGACAAAGTTCATCACCTTATGGGAGGCTGCCTATAATCCAGCCAAAAGGCTCTGAATCATTTTATGTCTATGTAACCCATTGCAACCCTCAGCTGTGTCTATCTGATATTGTCAATGAGGGTCCTGGCTGGGGACTGCCTCAATTCCCACGGGCATGTTTGTATCTCTAAGGTGGATCTCGTTCTCATGAACCTTTGACACAGGACTGACCAACTGCCTCATGCTCCTCCATAGTAAGAGCAGTGGAAAGCATACCAGGGAGATCATGCCAGATGAGAATATTAGACCCTTGGCCCGGTGGGGTCAGATGGTGCATAGGGTGGTGGATGGGCCACAGAAAACAGAGTCAAGAGGGTCAGGAGAGGAAGAGAGAGGGGGAGAGTTTTTGGAGGGATCTTGCCACATGAGCAAGAGTTGAGGTAGGAGGCAGGAGAAACAGAGTGGGATGGGAGCATAAGTAGAAGAATCCCTGGATGAAAGGAATTTCAGTCCACTTTACCAGTTGCTCATAGAAATTGAGGCCAGGGAGGATATCGAGCTGGTACATAGGCCATTTCCAGTTACAGAGGAGGATTAATTTCCTTGGTCTAAGATCAGGTCTTTGGCCTAGAGGTTTGAGGATAGCCAATAAGAAACCCAAAGGAGTGTGTGGGTCTCGTTTGGAATTTTGGTTTCTCATGGTGCCCAGGCACCAGGGTAAAACTAAGGCTGAAGAAGGCATCCCTGTATTAACCAAAGAGTTACCAAAAACAGGAGTGACAGAGAAGACAAAATGTCAATGATCATTCTCAGCACCAAGACCAAAGACCAGGGCGGGGGGTGGGGTGAGGGGGATAGAGACTCCAGCATGAGCTGTCCTGACTTTCGGGGAGCTGAGTTCCTGGAAAGCAAGACAGGACACCCTGAGACAAAGGGTAGGGACTTACCCAATTCAAAGGTGGTGGGTGCACAGAAGGCCAGGCTGAGGTCCTGGGTCAGACAAAGGAGAGAGGGAGAGAAAGAGAGAGATAGAGGTAGAGGCTTCAGGTGGGTTTACAGAGATAGCCAATGATATCCCAAGCCACTAGGTGGCCATCCACAACATATGCACAGCTTACAGAGGCAAAGGCCATGAGGTCTTTTCAGGTGGCTATTTAGCCCAAAGTAAGCTCAGCAGGTTCTGTGTTCCTGATTGAGGAGGTCTCAAGACAGGAGCAAGGGAAGAGAGAGGCTGAGAAGGGGCAGTGCCAGTTGATCGCCTTGGAGCAAAGTGAAGCAGTACCATCTTCCTGGGTTCCGCACCAGATAAATAGTTTTTTGGGTTTTTTGTTTTGTTTTTTTGTTTTTTTTGGGTCCGGTCGTGGGTCCTGAACTGTGGGCCTGGGTGCTGTCCCTCAGTGATTCAGCTCAAGGCTAGCGCTCTACCACTTGAGCCACAGCACCACTTCCGGCTTTTTTTTCTTTTCCTTATGTAGTGCTGAGGAATTGAACCCAGGGCCTCATGCATGCAAGGCAAGCACTCTACCACTGAACCACCTTCCGTGCCCCAGATCTATGGTTTTAAGTGAGGAAAAATCACACAGGAGGAGTTAAAGATTAATTAAAGAAAAGTTTGTTGGGGTACACTCCAGGGAGCAGAATCTGGTTGTGGCAGGGTTTATATGGCTGGGGTCAGCAGGAACTTTTAGCAGGTAACTTGTTTTGCAAGTTTGAGAGGTTTCAGGCTAGTGCCCCTGAAGAAGGATTCAGACAGGTGGTGTATAAGGAAGTGGCTTTTCTCAGCTGTCTCTGCCCTCCAGTTTTAACTTAAATTGGACCAAGTTAAATGATCTCCAGTCCAGGGGGAGGGGAGAGAAAGATTGAAAATCAATCGTAGAATGGCTAGCCTCTGAGAGGGAACCTAGAGGGGTGTCCACAGGACCAAGCCTGTGTCACACTCTTGCAGACACAAGCCAAAAGGTTGCAGAAAATTAAGGAGAGAGCAAAGAAGATTCTGAAAGTAAAGACTTCTGACCATTACCATTGCAGTGACAAAAACTGTATGTGTGAGAATATTTTGACCAGGCCTCATGGCAAATGCAAGAGGCATTCCAACTGAGTGTCCCGGCTCGGGCTTAAAAGCTCAGGAGCCAGTCTGGTGAGTGAAGGAGAGCTTACTGGATGGAAGCAGCATCCCACATCCTCCAGTGCCCCCTAGACACATTTCACTCACTGGAATGGAGAAGTGGTGAGCATGGATGTGGAGGCCAGCAATGGTTTTGGCAAAAAGTCTAGTGTGGCATCTTGCAGAAGTTCAGTTCGAGGGAAAAAGGGCAGTATGAACTGGGAAATATTCCTCAGAGGAAAAGAAAAACAGAAAAAGAGCAGGGGGGAATCAAAACGGAGAGGAATCCCACCTATCCTGACTTTAAAACCTTCCCAAATTCACACAGCACCATTTATGTTAGGTATAAGCAGGTAAGGAGAACACCACCTGCTTTCAGGCAGCAAGAGAAGTTAATTTTACCAAACTGCTTGTCCCTGCCAAGCAAGATGGAGACCACATGGCTGCAAACTAGGTTTAAGTAGGGAAGGCGAGGGGAGAAGTTGCAGTCAGGTGAGGGAAAGTGTGGCTGCAGTGTCCCTCAGAGCTTAGGACCCTCCCCTGATCCAATGGGAAATGGAGGGGGGGGGGGGGGAGAAGGTCTCTGTGTGTGTGTGTGTGTGTGTGTGTGTGTGTGTGTGTGTGTGTGTGTGTGTGTGTTGTCTGTCTGTCACTGTACTACCTTAACTATTATACTGATGGACCTACTGAGTCCAGGTCTTCACCCTCTTCTCACATCGTAACTGCGATGATTTTATTTGCTAGGATCTCAGATGTTTGCTGAGCCTCAGGAGCCAATTAAGACCAATACAGATTCTGCAGGACAGCTACCTCCTGGCTCCGATGATTTTACTGTTTCTCATCATGACACAATAGGCAAGTTAAATCTGGAGCACAAAGTCCCACAGATGGTGCCAGGGCTAGGTGAGGATCAGAACCCGGCCCAACCTCTGCCTCATCCATTCAAAAGTACCACAGAAAATGTTGCTGTAGCTGAGGCTTCAGAGCAGCCCTCACCTCAAATACCAAAACATACTGTGAATTCACAAGGGAAAGCATTTGTTCTTGCACCCGAGGAGCGGATGAAGGATCCAGTTTGGGTTAGTTTCCATGAGCGGAGGCAGCAAAAGCTTGAGCTGAGAGCAGCAAAAAGCCAATTGGCAAAATCTTGGCCAGATCCAAAAAGCCAATTGGCAGCATCTCAGCCAGATCCAAAAAGCCAATTGGCAGGATCTCAGCTAGATCCCAAAAGCCAATTGGCAGGATCTCAGCCAGATCCCAAAAGCCAATTGGCAGGATCACAGCCAGATCCAAAAATCCAATTGGCAAGATCTCAGCTAGATCCACTCAAAACTACCACGGAGAACGTTGCTCTAGCTGAGGCTTCCCAGTAACCCTCCCCTCAAATACCAAAACATACTGTGAATTCACAAGGGAAAGCATTTGTTCTTGCACCCGAGGAGCGGATGAAGGATCCAGTTTGGGTTAGTTTCCATGAGCGGAGGCTACAAAAGCTTGAGCTGAGAGCAGCAAAAAGCCAATTGGCAGAATCTCAGCTTGATCCAAAAAGTCAAGTGGCAGAATCTCAGCCAGATCCAAAAAGCCAATTGGCAGGATCTCAGCCAGATCCAAAAAGCCAATTGGCAGGATCTCAGCCAGATCAAAAAGCCAATTGGCAGGATCTCAGCTAGATCCACTCAAAAGTACCACAGAGAACATTGCTCTAACTGAGGCTTCAGAGCAACCCTCACCTCAAACACCAAAACGTACTGTGAATTCACAAGGGAAAGCATTTGTTCTTGCACCTGAGGAGCGGATGAAGGATCCCTTTTGGTTTAGTTTCTTTGAGCGGAGGTGGCAAAAGCATGAGCTGAGAGTAGCTCAAAATCGACTGGCAGGATCTCAGCTAGACTCAAGTATAAAGGTGGTTGATGTTGACAGTGTGGCTCAGAAAGCCAAAGAGGATGCAGATGAACCTCTAGAACCCCTTGAGCAAGATGAATCTGCTCAGCTCCACCTGCAGACCCATACTCAAAACCCCAGGACTCCTGAGAAGCAACGGTCCCCTGCAGCTCAGGAAGAGCACCCAGTTCAACAGCATGTTAGCGAGGAGGTTGTGCCATCAGTGGAAAAAAAGCCTCAACATTCAACATTGCCAGATGCCACAGTTCAACCTGCAGATGTGCAGATTACCTTCACCACTCCCAGTCACCAACAGACTGCAGGCCATCCTCCAGGGAGACCTCCGGAGGAAGAGCTTTCACCTACCCAACAAGAGGTGCCAGCTCAACCTTCAGAGCTCCCAGAGTTTGGAGACCCTTCTGAAAGCCATCTAGAAGCCCCAGCTCAGCCTGAAAAACCTTTTGAGGGAGTCACACCTCCAGGTGAGCAGGAGGCTCCTGTTCAAGCTCCAGAGGCCCCCATGGAAAGCATAGAGGCAAGTCCCCCAAACCATGCGCTAACAGGTCAGTCTCCAGGAGAGGTCCAAGCTCACCATGCCAACGTCTCCTATATTACAGATAAGCCCCCAGATGTAATAGTTACCATCACTGCAATGCCTACCAAGGAGACTGAATCGCCTCTATCCCACAATGAGGCTCCAGCTGGTCCTGCAGTTTACAGAGAAGAGATAGAACCGGCTTTCAGTGAGCAGGAGCATAGATCACAACCTGAGTCTCTTGGGGAGACTCAGCCTTCTGTAATACAGCCTGAAGTCCCTGCTCAGGCTTCAGAGCACAATGGGGAGGTTGAATCTTCTCTAACCCAGCAGGAACAACCAGCTCAGTCTTTTGAGCATTATCAATGGACAGTTTCACCTCCAGGTCAAATGAATGTCAGTATTCAAACTTGGACAATTTGACTAGCCGACCTCCAGATGTGGTGATTACCATAACACCACAGTCAACAGTTGAGTGGGGGAGTTCTCCAATCCCCAGTGAGGCTCCAGCTTATCCCTCAGTCCCAGGAAATGATATGGGACTTCCTATAACCCAGCAAGAGTCCCCATCTGGGCCACCAGAGCCTTCTCAAGTGTCCATACCTGTATCAATCCAAGAAGAGGCTCCAACTTCAGGACCTAGTGGACATGAAAAGCCTTCTACCCAACAGGAAGCCACAGCAGAGACTACACAGACCTCTGAAGAGGTTATACCTCCAACCCGGCCTCCAGAGGTAGAAGTACCACCTCAGCCTCCAGAGCTTCCTAATGAAATTGTTCCATCTACAGAACTTCATGAAGTTCCACCTGCACCATTACAGAACAATACCGTTAAACCCTCAGAGATGAATGATGTTGAGATTACAACCCAACAGGAGGTCCCTGACCAGTCCTCAATGTTCTCTGAACAGTCTGGTCCCTTGGAAGACCAGAATGAGGTCACAACCCTGCAGCCAAAACCCCCTACAACTGTTGAACCATCTCCCATTTATCAAGCAATCTCTCCAGAGCTTGAAGAGCTTCCTGAGGCACCTTCTCCAAGCCAACAAGAGAGCACAACTCTGCTCCCCAAGCCCTCTGAGAGTACTGAGCTTCCATCCATCCAGCCAGAACTTCCAGTTCCATCACCAATACCCAGTATGGACTATAATATTCCTCCACTCTCAGATAGCTGGGAATTTTCACCTTTAGATCTAGAAATGATGTTCAAAGGTCATAATGAACCAACGCTGCCTAAAACCACAGTGAAACATGTGGATCTGGAGTTGACTATAACTCCACAGACTAATGAACAAGTTGCATTTTCTCCAACCCAGTATGGTGTCCCTTCCTGGCCTCCTCAACGCCCTGAAAATATTGGCTCTTCTTCAGTCCATCAAGAGACTACAACTCAGACTCCGAGTTCTCACAAGCAGCAAAGTGCTTCTACAACTACTCTAATGGCTTCATCTCTGCCTGCACAACTCCCCGAGAAGGTGGAACCCTTTCCAGTACTTCCACTGGACATAGAACTTCCTTCAGTTCAGGATGTAGATGCAACTGAGCTTCCAGTGCTGCCTCATGAGATGGTGGTGCCACCTCCAGGGCACTATGAGACGACAGGTCCCACTGCAAATCAAGATATAACTCAGGGTCCAGTATTGCCCAGTGTCACATCTTAGCCTGTGGACCTGGAACTCACAATTACTCCAGAAATCTCTACTGCAGCCCAACCTTCTAAGGACCTAAAAAAGTGGCCTAGGGTAATACTTCAACCTGTAGACATCCAACTGTCTGTAACTATACAAGCTGTTCTTGAAGATAAACTTCCTCCAACAGTAGATGAGGCCCCAAGTCAGCCTATAATGCCAACTACGGAGGTTATGGGGCAATCTGAAGAAAATCAGGGGGTGACAGTTCTTGTCACAGGTCAGAATGAAACTCAGCATTCAGCATTGCCCAATGTGATATTTCAACAATTTGACCTGGAAGTTACACTAACCCCTGACTCCACCAGAGAGCATGAACATTCTTCAGTTCCAAAGAAAACAACTCCAGAACAACCTGAGGTAATCTTTCTACCTCCAGATAAGATTCAGTCTGAGCATCCCAATCTGAATGAAGTCATGGTTCCACATCATTTTGATGTAGAAATTACCTTTACTCCAGAATCAAATATGGAGGTTGGACTTTCTCCAACCATACAGGAGACCTTAACTGACCTTTCAACACCACCTAAGGATTCTACAACCCAAGCCCCATTTTCTATCACAGGTCCGACTCCAACCTGGACTCCAATGAAACACAAGGTCACATCTCAACCAATGGGCCTACCCCTTTCCACAACCTCAGAACCCACTACAGAGGCTGAAAATTCTTCATCCCTGAAGAAGACCACAGCTACCACTCAAGTGACATTTCCTCCTCAAGGAAATGTCACACAACCTACTATTAAACTTAGTTCAGTCACATCGGAAACTATGCAGGAGACCCCACCTCAGCATCTGCAGGAGACCTCACCTCAGTATCTGCAGGAGACCACACCTCAGCATCTGCAGGAGACCTCACCTCAGCATCTGCAGGAGACCCCACCTCAGCATCTGCAGGAGACCACACCTCAGCATCTGCAGGAGACCTCACCTCTGCATCTGCAGGAGACCACACCTCAGCATCTGCAGGAGACCTCAACTCTGCATCTGCAGGAGACTTCAACTCTTCATATACAGGAGAGCACACCTCAGCATCTGCAGGAGACCACACCTCTGCATCTGCAGGAGAGCACACCTCTGCATCTGCAGGAGACCACACCTCTGCATATACAGGAGACCCCACCTCAGCATCTGCAGGAGACCCTACCTCAGCATCTGCAGGAGACCTCACCTCAGTATCTGCAGGAGACCACACCTCAGCATCTGCAGGAGACCACAACTCTGCATCAGCAGGAGACCACACCTCAGCATCTGCAGGAGACCACACCTCAGCATCTGCAGGAGACCTCACCTCTGCATCTGCAGGAGACCACACCTCAGCATCTGCAGGAGACCACACCTCTGCATCTGCAGGAGACTTCAACTCTTCATATACAGGAGAGCACACCTCAGCATCTGCAGGAGACCACACCTCTGCATCTGCAGGAGAGCACACCTCTGCATCTGCAGGAGACCACACCTCTGCATATACAGGAGACCCCACCTCAGCATCTGCAGGAGACCCTACCTCAGCATCTGCAGGAGACCTCACCTCTGCATCTGCAGGAGACCACACCTCAGCATCTGCAGGAGACCACAACTCTGCATATACAGGAGACCACACCTCAGCATCTGCAGGAGACCACACCTCAGCATCTGCAGGAGACCTCACCTCTGCATCTGCAGGAGACCACACCTCAGCATCTGCAGGAGACCTCAACTCTGCATCTGCAGGAGACCCTACCTCAGCATCTACAGGAGACCATACCTCAGCATCTGCAGGCGACCCTACCTCAGTTTCTGCAGGATACACCAACTCAACCTCTGCAGGAGATTCCCACTCACCATCTTCAGGAGACCCAAATAAAAAATCGTAGGGAGACTCCAACTCAGCCTGTACAGGAGGTCCCAACTCAGCCTCTGCAGAACACCCCAACTCAGTCACGGCAGGAGACCACAACTCGGCCCCTGCACGAGACACCAAATAAACCTCTGTGGAAGACTGTAACTCAGCCTAAGCAGAAGACCGGAAGCATGCCTTGGCTGAAGACCCCAACTCAGCCGTGGCAGAAGGCCTCAACTCAGCCTCTGCCTAAGCCCTCAAATTGGCCTAATACAATGAAAACTCAGCCTACACGTAGGCCACAGTTAGAGGCTGTGGCTAAACCTTCAACAACAGGGTATCACCTAGTGTCACAATTTATAGAGACTACTACTACTACTACTCCAAAGCACAATGAAGTGACACTTGGACATCCACACAGGTTGCAAAATCAGCATTCAACCTTGACTCAAGGCACAGTTAAACCATTGACTCAATTTCCAACAACCACCATCACAGAAAATGCTTTAGCTGTGCGAACAGAGCAGAATGCCCCTTCAAGCATGAACTTATGTGAGCTCTGTCACTGCCAAAACCAGACACTGTCCTGTGTGGATCTCAGCCCAGAGCAGAGGCTCCGCCAAGTTCCTGTGCCAGATATGGACCCCAAGAAGCAACTTTTCACTGTCTTGCAAGTATCCCCCTACCTCCTTTGTGCTGGGCATTCTGCCTGACATTCTTTTTCTAAAGTTCTTCGTCCTCTCTCCAATCCAGTATTGAGTAATGTTGACTTTTACTGTTTTCTTAATTTTTTAGATTGCTTGTGGGGCTTGAACTCAGGGCCTGGCCACTGTCTCTGAGCTTCTCAGCTCAAGGCAAACCCTCTACTACTTGAGCCACAGTGTCACTTCCATTTTCTGACGGTTTGTTGGAGATACGAGTCTCACATACTTTTCTGACCCAGCTGGCTTTAAACCAAGATCCTCAGATATCAGCCACCTGAGTAGTTAGGATTGGAGGCATGTGCCTCCTGGCTTTCTTTTCTTATTTTTTTAGGTTGGTTGAGGGGATTGAACTCAGGACACCTGGGTACTGTCTCTAAGCTCTTTTGCTCAAGACTAGCATTTTACAAGTTCAAGCAACAGCATCACTTCCAGTTTTCTAGTGGTTAGTGGAGATAAGAATCTCGTGTACTTTTCTGCCCCGCTGGCTTCAAACTGAGATCCTCACATATCAGCCTCCTAAGGACTAGGATTACAGGCATGAGCCACCTGTGCCTGGCTGGCTTTTAAACTTTTCACTTCTTCATTTTCCTTGTTCTCATCTTCCTATTGTATCCATTTGCCAAGCTTTTATTTGAGGCTGCCCTTTGTCTGCTTCCAAGAAGATTCCGAGTCACAGAAGTTCTGATGCAAATGCAAAATTGTAGCATTCTCTAAAAAGAACAACAGAGAAAAATCACTGACTGACAAAATGTGGGCATGAGTGTACCAAACAGGACTCTATACTTTCTGTCCTGAATGAATGAACCTGACAGTGATAGAAACAGAGTAGTCAAAAAGGAAAACCAGTTCATGAGAAAGGAGTTCAGTTTGGTCTTGCAGTTGAATGGAAAAGTCTACTAGGCAGATGAGCAGACTTAAATCTTCTCTACTTCACTACCAGACAAAGAATATATGAACTGAGCAGGACAGTTATAGCAAAGACTAAGGATTGATTAAGGTATCTCAGTAGCTTCTAGTAAACATGTGCTTTTGCCAAGCAATGGTGGCTCACACCCGGAATTCAGCTACTGAACAAGTTCAGATCTGAGGATTATGATTCAAAGCCAGTCCCAGTTGGAAGGGTTGTGAGGCTCTTATTTCAAATTAACTACCAACAAGCCAGAAGTGATAGAAGACTATCCTTAAGCAAGAAAAGCTTAGAGACAGGACCCAGGCCCTAAGTCAAAGGCCAAACAGAATCAGAAAAATTTATTTTTCAATCAGTATTAGCCTTAGTTTTTCTTTTCTATTTTCTGTTGTTTTGGTTGACAATGGGGAGTGAACTCAGGGCCTGGGCCCTATCCCTGAGCTCTTTGCTCAAGGCTAGTGCTCTAATACTTGGTGCCAAAGAGCCACTTCTGGTTTTCTGGTGGCTAATTGGAGATAAGAATCTTGCAGGGTTTCCTTCCCAGGCTGGCATTGAATGGTAATCCTCAGGTCTGAGTCCCCTGGGTAGCTAGGATTACAGGCATGAGCCTCCAGCGTCTGCTCACGTGTTTTCATATGTACATTCCAGCTTCCAAAAAAAATAACAGAAACCAGTTTTGCAGTACACATGCTTAATACACACACTGTAGAGAGAGGGGGGAGAGGAAGCAAGAGAGGGAGAGGGAGGGAGGGAGTGATAAAGAGAGAGAGAAGAGAGAAGGGAGAGTGAGAGGAGAGTTCAATGCCAGTCTTGTTTTTACCAGCTCTTGTCTCAAAAACCAAGGGCTGATGACCAAGCTTAGTAACAGAGCCTTGTATACACAAGATTCTGTGTTCAATCCCTAGTGCGTGCCTGTGTGCATGGGCATGAACACACACATACACAATTTATAGATATATAGAGATCTTACATGCCATACTTACCTCTTACCATTTTCACATACATCCTTCTTTCTGATGTCTGTTTTTGGCATTTTTTTTCCTGATGAGGTAATAAAACTTAACTCTTGTCTCAATGAATCATGCTTTTCCCTGTATGAAACATGGCTCTGAGCTCTTCCCTCATCAACATACTAACTCCTCTAATTTCTATTATTCCTTACCTTTCCAAGATATACTTCCTTCTAAAGCTTCATCCTTCTTAATGGCATTTAAGCACAGCTTTGGTACTACCTGACAGAGAGGTTTTTATTGCTGTTTTCCAACAACATACATCTGTCCCTTTTTCTGTCACCATTTTCTTATTGATTTAGAAGTCAGTTTAAACACAAATGATTCAGGAAAATTACATCCTGGGTAATTGGAACTAGACATGCACGAGATTGATTGGACAGACAGGAAATTAAAAGCTTCTGTTGAGGAGCCTCTTTTTTTCCTGCCAGTGGACCCACTTTTTTTCTTTGGTGTGCAAACTGTGGGAAACTCATAGCTTCAAAAAGTAGAAAAAGTTGAGGTTTTTCCCTGCATTTGATTATGCCTCATGAGGTTGCAATGACTTTTTCTTCCTCTAATCTTTTCCTATTTATTCCTCGATATAAACTGTTTCTCCATAGAAATTTCAAAGGAAACGAAATTTCTTATATTGAAGAAAATGTATGGGCATCATACCGTTGGACTGAGAAACTGTGAGTATATTCTCTTCAAACATGAATATGACACTACTGTAAGACCCTCCTTGGTCTAGAATCTTGAAGGGAGTACCTTTGAGAAAAGCCATTGCCCCTTTATATATATCCTAATCAGCCTCTCCTGACTGAAATTCTGCAAGTATTTGAACATCAAGCTTATGGGTACTCGGGGTATTGTTAAGGGGCAGAGTGCTTGTCTTGCATGCAGGATGAGGCCTTTCAACTATCATGCAAAATAAAGTTTCATGGACCCACTTTGAACTAAGTATGTGGCAAGTTGAAATCATTCTCTATAATACAAGGGACGGATGCTTAGATTCTTATAGGATAAAACTGATGTTAATAACAGAATGAAAACTATACTTGAAACAAGAGTATAGTAGAAAGATGTTTTCCCAGGCAATTGTGCACTATTTTACTATATTTGCATATGTATTTACTGTACTTTTTACATATAGTAGAATAGGTTTGTGGTATCATTTTCTTACTGGGTTTTTACATTTTATACTAATGGTAACATACTGCAAGTTGATTTTTACATTTCATAACATATGCTATTAATCTTAACATAGAGGAGTATCCTATTTCTTTAAGTGTTTGCAAAACATTCCATAGTTTGGATGCCTTGTGCTGTATTTCCTATTTCCCATAATATTTAGAGAATTCCCAGTTAGCTTGTTGCATTCAACGCTACAGTGAAAAACCCCATATATACTTCTTTGTGAATCTAGACAAATCATTCAGCAGAATAATCTAGAAGTAGAATTTTATTATGAACACTATGGTACACATGAAATGTCAATTGGCCTCAAAAAAGGTGTGCCACCATACACTCTAGGCAACAGAAAATGACAGCCTTTCTTTTCCCATAATGTATCTCTCTATTCAATATATTTCCCAATGCTGGATGAATTTAGATCCAGAAATAACCTTTTTATCTTCCAGAATTCTCAGTGAAAATCGCCTCACTGAATTACATAAGGATTCATTTGAAGGACTCCTATCTCTTGAATATTTGTAAGTTAGTAAGTTTATTAGTAATTATGTATAAATTATTCAGGTTACTGAAATCCCTTCCAGCAATCAATTCTGCAGCTATGTAAGAATGTGTCTATCTCACCTCATCTCTAGCAATAAGTACTTACTATTCATTATCAGATTAATTATATAGATAACATATAGACAGGGAAAAACTGTCCTTACTGAGAAAAATGGTACTAAGACCTCAACAATTCCTGATACTCATAAAAATGTTTTCTTAAAAATACACAGTGTGGGGCTGGGCATGTGGCTTAGTGTCAGAGTGCTTGCCTAGCATGCATGAAGCCCTGAGATCTCAGGGCTCAATTCCTCAGTACCACATAAACAGAAAAAGCTGGAAGTGGTGCTACGGTTCAAGTGGTAATGCTAGCCGTGAGCAAAAGATCAGGGACAGTGCCCAAGTCCTGAGTTCAAGCCCCAGGACTGGCAAAAACAAAAAAGAAAAAGTACAGCCTGGCCAGGCATAGATGATTCATGCATCTAGTTTTAGCTACTCAGGAGGCTGATATCTATGGATCTCAATTTCAAGCCAACTGGGGCAAAAAAGTCCGGTAGACCACCAGAAAACTAGAATTGGTACTGTGGTTCAAGTGGTAGAGCACTAGCCTTGAGAAAATTTATCTCAGGGACAGCAGCAGGCACTGGATTCAGCCCCAGCACCAGTGCACGGGCACTTGGGTACAGGCACGCATCTCCTCTTCCAGGACAAAATCACAAGGGAAAGTGCAGCGCTAGTGGTAGAGCAAGGGACAGCATCCAAGGCCTAAGTCCAAACCTCAGCACTGACATCAAAAACATATATATATATAATATATATATATATATATATTATATATATATATGTTTCGCCTCATTTTTATGCTTTGTCCATGGGATCCAAAGATCCATTCTCATTAAGCTTATGAATGTTTCCATTAATCAGGCTCCTACCATAATGAGCTATTTTCAAGTTAATTTGTTCAAAAATAGAAGAGAGTATCAAGTGATTTGCATAACACAAAAAATATTCTTTGAATTATCAACCCTGCTAGGTTCTAAGGTGATGACTAGTTTTTGTCATTGTCGTTGTTTGTTTTTCCCCAGTCCTGGGGCTTGAACTCAGTGCCTGGGCACTGTCTCCTCTGAGCTTCTTTTGCTCAAGGCTAGCACTCTACCACTTGAGCCACAGTACCACTTGTGGTTTTTTCTGTTTGTGTGGTACTGAGGAATGGAACCCAGGGCTTCATGCATGCTAGGCAAGGACTATCACTAAGCCACATTCCCAGCACATGATGCCTAGTTTTCTACTGACTCTTTGTGGCCTTTCTGCCACCTGGGCTCTCAAACTCCAAACATGGTTGGAAGGAAACAAATAAGAAAACTCTCCATGAAATCATCCCTTTGCTTCTCGTACCATGAAATGCATTGCAAGCTATTTATATCACACTACCGTGTATATCATCATTCACCAATAAAAGAGATAAATTGGCTGTGTCTAGATTGGAGCAAACAAAGATGAGTAAGGCAGGGATCTACCCTCTAAGAACTCATAGGCTTAAAAGGTCAAGCAACAGTGCAGCAGAAGTGCAGAAAAGGTGTATTGCCAGCAAAGAGCTCAATGTGAACGTATGGTTCTAGTCATAGGGCATGAGCTTCTAAGAGAAAAAGCCTAGCAACAGTGCAAGGCCCTGTGTTCAAGCCCTAGTACAGCCCTATAGACTATACATATAACAGATATGCAATGACTATCTTACACATTGTATATAAATATACGTTATATATAAATATATAGAACCTTACAGTATATATTATATATAGAGCTTACAACCTTGAGCTTAATTTGATGAGAATACAAAATATTACCTGTTCGTTGTTCTGCTCTCTTGAAAGATTATCCAAAATCCATCAGTATCTATAATTACATGTTTCATTGATCAGATGATCATGATGAATAGGTGTAACTGTTAGGTGTGCCCAGACTTACTTGATAAAGAAAGTTAAAATCCAAAGCTTTATAATTTAGAAATAATTGTTATGTGTTCAAGATTATATGTCTTAAAGTCTACTATTTAATCATCCTCATTAGATATCTAATAGATTCTGAGTATAATATTTTCCTCTTTCTTTTTCTAGAGATTTGTCCTGCAATAAAATACAGTCAATTGAAAGACGGACATTTGAATCATTGCCTTTCCTGAAGTTCGTGTAAGTTGCAAATAGAACTTCATTATCTCAGGCTGGGAATGTGGCTCAGTGCTAGAGTGTGTGCCTAGCATGCATGAATCCTGGGGTTCGATTCCTCAGTACCACATGAACAGTAAAAGCAGAAGTGGTGCAGTGGCTCATGTGGTAGAGTGCTCAGGGACAGTACTCAGGCCCGGAGTCCAAGCCCCAAGGCTCGCCCTCTCACACCCCAAAGAAGTCATTATTTCACATATATCAGCTCCTTTTGAAATAGAATTAAATTTTGCTAGTGAAAAGTTACTATATGTATATATATATATATATATATATATATATAAATGAAATTCTTTTAGACTAGCAAAGATGAGTGTGAGAATCATTATAGGTCAGACAGAGTCATTACAAAGCACTTGTTCTCAGCCAATGAATGGCTTGTACCCAGAAGTCATTTAGCAACTGTGGATATGCTATGTGCATGTAGTGGGCAGACATGTCTAGAGGGATGCTGATGTCCTGGTTGCATCCTACAATGGACGGGACAAGGCTCCACAGCCAAGAACTGTGCAGCCCAAAATGAGTGGACATACAAAAACCTGTTGTCCATCAATGAGGGTCACTTGACACTGCATGTGTAAATATGAAAGCAGAAATCACAAGCCAGGATGGTCCACAGGAAGATTTCTTTAAAGCACAGGGAAGAAACAGAATTGTTTCATTATATGTAAATTAGAATCAGTGTGAGCTGATAAAAGTTCTGAAAAAGATGTCTTTTTTCCTTCTTTTTTGGCTTATGGTTTTTATTGTTTGTTTTTTAGAAATCTCGGTTGCAATTTAATCACAGAAGTGAGCTTTGGAACATTCCAGGCATGGCATGGGTTGCCGTTTTTACACCAGATGTAAGTGGTATAGATGATAAACATGTTAAATAAAACCTATTTACATTTTGAAAACCTAATATCCTTAAGAGTGAGCTGGGTGTAATGACTATGTGAACTCTCAGATGTATGTCTTTAGGATACATTCATTTTTTAAAAGTATTTTCATTGTTACTATTAAGTAGTTATACTAAGGGGTTGCAGTTCCATGTCAGGTTATGCGGACAGTGCTTCTTGACAATGTCACCCCTTCCTTCATTCTCCCCCAATTTCCTGCTCCAATGCCCACCCACAAGTTACATAGTTTACTTTTCACATTGTGCACATTGAATACAATGATGGCATTTGCTCACCTTTCCTCCATCAATTCCTGTACTCCTCCCTCCACCCCCCACAAAAAACAAAAGAATACTTGTTTGCATTTCACTTCTAGTATTTTTGATGAGCAGTACTTTAGTTGGGCAGAGGAGTTATGCTACCCTCTTTTAGTCAGTCCTGTACCTGTTATCATGCCTAGTTGTATTTTAGATTTAGCTTCCACATATGAGAGAAAACTTGTGTGCTTTGTCTCCCTGAGCCTGGCTTACTTCACTTAACACAATTTTGATCTAGGTTTATCCATTTCCCTGCAAATGACACAATCTGATTCTTTCTATTAGATGAGTAAGATCTCATTGTGTATCGGTATCACATTGTCTTGAATCCAGCTCATCGGTTGAAGGGCATCTGTGCTGTTTCCATAACTTGGCTACTGTGAATAGTACAAGTGTCTTTACCATATGCTGACTTCTGATATTCTGGGTAGATACACAAAAGTGATATCATTTTTTTTCTTCAAATGAGGGAACAAAATAAGATACACAAGGCTCCGAGACTCATATGACTAGTCACACAAGCGCCAGGTTCTGTGCCCTTACTTCAGATCTTTGGCCAGGAAAACAGAAGACATCAAGCATGTAACCTTGAAATTAGCTCTGTCATGGGAGCCAATGGCTGCTCTGATCAATGTGAGGTTAACATTCATTGCTTCTCCACTGCAGAGTGACTGCCTAACTGCTCACATGTCAGCGAGGCAGAGCTGCAAAGAACAACACTGATCACCCAGTCTTCCTGGAAGTAAAAGGGTGGCTGACTTCTCAGTGTCAGTTTCTTCTCAGGGTGACACAGGGCACTTCTCTCAGTCAGTCAGAATGTTATTTTTCAACTATGTACCTCTGAAATTGTCAATTACCTTGGGCAATAGGAACCTCTGAGGTATAGAAAAAGCTATACATTCAAAAAGAAAATACATTGCTCTAGACTGATTCTATGCATTTTCTTTCCTGACTACTTTCAACAAAAAATATGGGTTTTTATTTCCTTTCAGTTAAAAAATGGTATGCTGTTTGCCAGATGTGGTGACATACAGCTGTAATCCAGCACTCAAGAGGTGTGGGCAGGGGACCTATAGTCCAAGGCCACTCTGGGCTACATGTCAAAATTCTACCTCAAAAAGAAAAAAGACTGTGTGGTTCAAAATGTTCCAAAGGAAATTATGACTCAAGGTGAAATTCTCCTCTAAACGTGTCTCTGTGAAAGGCTACTTGTGGATCAGGAAATTCAGGTTTCTAGAAGGTGTTTGGTGTTGGTGGAGGATTGAGATGTGGCTGGAATCTAAGATTTGGTTGCCTGTGCTGGCTTGAATCTCAATCCTCAGATTATCAGCCTGAGTAGCTAGGACTACAGGTGTGAGCCACCAGTATCTGCTTTGAATGGCTTATTTTAAAACATCTTTTTAGCCAGAAGCTGATAGCACATACCTTGTAATCCTAACTACTCCAGAGGCTGAGACCTAGGATTACAGTTCAAAGCCAGCCAGGGCAAGAAAGTCCATGAGACACGAGACCCTCACCTCCAGTTAGCCACCAGAAAACTGGAAGTGGAACTATGGCTGATAGTGCTGGAGCAAAAGATCTCAGGCACAGATCCCAGGCTCTGAGTTTAAGCCCAAAGAGAGAGAGAGAGACACACACACACACACAAAGACACAGACACAGACACAGACACACACACACACACACACACACACACACACACACTATGGCTGATAGTGCTGGAGCAAAAGATCTCAGGCACAGATCCCAGGCTCTGAGATTAAGCCCAAAGACACACACACACACACACACACACACACACACACACACACACACACACACACACACACACACACACACACACACACACACACACACACACACACACACACACACACACACACACACACACACACACACACACTATGGCTGATAGTGCTGGAGCAAAAGATCTCAGGCACAGATCCCAGGCTCTGAGTTTAAGCCCAGTTTAAGAGAGAGAGAGAGACACACACACACACACACACACACACACACACACACACACACACGTACCTCCTTTAATCACTTCATTGGTTCTCACAGTGCTCACTCCATGATTTTATTTTATTATATTTTTAGTCCGGCTGTGGAGCCTGAACTCTGGGCCTGGGCGCTGTCCCTCAGCTCTTCAGCTCAAGGCTAGCGCTCTACCACTTGAGCCACAGCGCCACTTCTGGCTTTTTTCTTTTTGCTTATGTGGTGCTGAGGAATTGAACCCAGGGCCTCATGCATGCAAGGCAAGCACCCTACCACTGAGCCACCTTCCCAGCCCTCACTCCATGATTTTAGAAGCTGTTGTTTACAAAGTAGAGAATCTATCCCTCATTGAGGTAAAGCACTTTCCCATGCTAGCTGGTCATGAGCACTAAGAGACAATAAGAGAAGAAAAAAAAGAGAAAAAAGCAGGCCTTACCCATATTGAATTATTTAACCCACTACTGAGAGTTTCTGTCATGCTACATTTGAGGGCAAATTAAGCTCCTGTTTCTGAAATATCCTATTGCTTTCTCCCAGTTTCAGTAGCATTGCTTTTCTATTAATAACTGTAGGTATGCAGGATGTGTTTGGGTTTGAATTAGAGTCCTGGCTTAGTCTCCAATATCCAAAGCCTTTTCTAGACGTTTCTATACTCTTTCTCTTCTCTAAACTCTTCTCTAGAATTCTGGGCAGTTTCCAAAGGAAAGTAAAGCCAGTGATTTTTTAAATCTACAAGTGTCAACCAAAAAAATGAATACATACTTTTTCTGGAGACTGATACATATTGAAAATGTTGATAATTTTAATTCCATTGCATTTTTCAGAGTTCTCAATCATAATCCTCTAACAACTGTTGAAGATTCCTGTTTAAATTGCCTGCATTAAAATATCTGTAAGTATTTCAAAAATCTTACAAATCTTGAGATCATTTCTGTTATTCTTGATTAGTTTCTTCAAAGGTTAAATAGTTTTCCGTGAGCCTAAGAAAGTCATTTTTATTTTCTTTTCTGGTGCTGATTCTAGGGCTTGAACTCAGGGCTGTCCCAGAGCTGCTTTTGCTCAAGGCTACCACTCTACAATGTGACCCACAGCTCCACTTCCAGATTTTTATTGTTATTGTTAATGTTATTATTTTGTAGTTTAGTGAAGATAATAGTCTCACACAATTTCCTGCCCAGGCTGGCTTCCAACCCTGATTCTCAGATCTCAGCTTCTGAGTAACTCAGATTATGGGCATGGGCCACCAGCACTCCGCTTGAGAGTCATACTTTTAGTTAATAGGGAATTGAATGAAATGCTCTTGGTAAAGGAAAGAACTAAGAAAGTATTTATAAAGGACAGAACAGCCCGAAGGATGAACACTTGTAGCACCATCACTTTTCCCAGAAGACAAAGAGGAATAAATGGTACATTGTTTTATGAAAAGAAACAAAAGTAAAGGGATAGTGAATGTATTTTGAGAACGCCTAACATAATGGTAAGAAAAAAAAAGATAATTGATTCTAAAACACCGCAAGATCCTTAATTTGATGATGTAAAAAAGAATAACCTAAGTCTTTTCAATGAGAAAGAACACTGTCAATTATTTTCAGTGACACTCGAGCTGACTTATGCTCTTGAAGGATTTTTTTTTCTTACTTTCAAGTATTTTACCTGTGAGTGAAAACTGATCAGTGTCCATATTGTTCATTGCAAAGATACACAGTATGCATCAATACACTGCTGGTCAGTGAGTTAATGTATGTACACCTCAAGTTCTCCTGCGTGCTTTTTCTTCTAGAAAGCTACTACTTACCAAAAAGAAACTTCAGCAATACAGGAAAAACTATTTTCCCAATAAATTTACAAAAACCTAAGATTCCCAATGAAATCAAGATTACCTTCCCACTACCACCACCTCAATATAATCACATGCTTATTGGAACACTAATATTCACACCCTAAGAATACATTTACTTTCAACAATGAGGGTGATTCTTTAAAAACAAACTTTAGTGTGGTAAATGTAACATGGATTTCTGTAGTAAGTGTGTGCAGTAGGCAGCTGATACTGGATTTAATATTATTTTAAATGTGTTTTCTTAGCAGTAAATGTAAGTCTACACATTCACAAGTCTACACATTCACAGAATAAATACTATGATTATGCACAATATGTTATGACAAACTAGCTTCAAAAAAACAAAAGCTTCAACATCTTAATAAAAATTCTAATCAGAATAAAATGTGACTCTAAAACAGTCAAAACAATAGCAAATTTAGAATCTCCCAACCAAAACCAGTATCACCACTGAAATGAATAATTTCCAATATGTTCATATTTTAATTCACATTTAAAAAAATATGTTCCATAACGTTGTGAACCATGAGGGATCTTTTTTTTTTTTTTTTAAAGAATGTATATTCTGTTGTTGTTAAGTAAATTTTTATTTGAATTTTTTTGGGGGGGGGGAAACCCGTCGGGGGCCTGAACTCTGGGCCTGGGTGCTGTCCCTCAGCTCTTCAGCTCAAGGCTAGCACTCTACCACTTGAGCCACAGCGGCACTTCCGGTTTTTTTTTCTTATGTGGTGCTGAGGAATCGAATCCAGGGCCTCGAGCATGCAAGGCAAGTGCTCTAACACTGAGCCAACTTCCCAGCCCCATCAGGGATCTTTTTTTTTCTTTTTTTTTTTTTTTTTTGTGTGAGTTTGCCTTTTATTTTTTCATCGTTTGAGGAACTCATAAAAAACACAACACACACAACATGAACCTCAGTAACTTAAAATATAACCTTTCCTAGGAGGTTGGGGCTGAGTGGAAGTGTGGAAAGGTCAGGCCCGGGCTGGGAGGGCAGGCCTAGCCTGCATATCCCTCACTTGATGCCTGAAATCCCCCATCAGGGATCTTTTTTAAGAACACTTTTTTTTAAGTGGATTAAGTGATTACATAAATTTCACACTATTGTGGGATAGTGATACTTAGCTAAAGTCAGAAACACATTTTAACCTTCACAATGCAAATTGTCATTATCATGGTCTATAAAGCTTATTAAAGCTACGGACTTGGACAATACAGCTATTTCATTCCAAATCAGGTTGATATGTACATTTTTTTCTCTTGCTTAGTGTAAGCTGTTCCCTCTTTCTCTATTATTCCCTCCCTCCCATCTCTGCCCTTGAGTTGCTTAGTTCACTTTCTTCAATGTGTCCCATGCAGCTGATGGGGGCGGGGGTGAGGGGTGGAGGGAGCGCTGCTGTATTTTTTCACCCATTTCCTTCTGATTCTGTGCCCTCCTCCTAGCTTCTCTCAGATGTGCACATGTATATATCATATGTGTGGTCCAGAACACAGAGTCATCTAAAAATGATGGGACAGATTAAGAAGAGGTCCTTTGTTTCTTGAGTCCTGTCTACTTTTTCATATCTGATTGTGTTTTGAATTTAACATCTGCATATCAGGGAGACTCTCCAATTTTGGCTTATCATGATTGTTCTATTCCATCCATCTCCCTGCGAATGCCATTATTTTGTTCTTTCTAATGGCTCTGTGATATTCCTTTGTATATAGGTACCACAATTTATCTGTAGTGGGACATCTGCTTTGTAAGAACACAATCTTTGAGTTGGGGTGTATCATGAATGTCTGGCTTTCTCCTTCAGAGATATGGGATCAACACAAGTGCAACTTATGACAGTAGAGAATATCCTCATGTTGACCCTTTCGTTGGAAAAACTGTAAGTTAACTGTTTTTAGATTTGTATCACTTTTTCAGGTTTGTTTTATTACTTTCTGAGGTCAGGTTTATTGCAGTGACATTTTCATGCACTTAACTTTACACTTTTTTAAGTATACAGTTTGATGAGTTTGCATAGCTGTAACCGCTACCACATTCCCATCACCCACAAAAGGCCATCAGGCCCTTTGCAGTCAATCCACTCCTCCTCCTCCTACCCCTGGAAACCTCCAATCTTACTTCTGGCTCTACAGGTCTATCTTTTCTAGACCATCCTATAAATGAATCATAGAATGTATAGCCTTTTGGGTTTGGCTTCTGTCACATCACAAAACCCTTAGCTTGTCCCACTGGCAGTGGATGCAACTGTAATGCTCCATGTCTCCCTCGATCCTCCTATTTCCATTTTCCTCTGCCAAAACTGTACAACCAAGTGACCCAGAAATCCCTAAAGTCAGACTACTGTATTCTCTAATCTGAGTTTCTTTGGCTCACTCCCCAAATCTACCTTGTCAGATATGCTCTTTGCTCTAGGCATCAATATAAACTGATACTCTATAGTCTAAGCTATTTACCAGAGGACCCTAGATCCTTTGTTTTTAGAAATGACTGTTGGGAATGAAGTTGCTGTTGACTGTTAAATCCTGAGCTCAAACTCTTCCTCTCTGTTCACCTCTGAGAGTAGTCTGTGACCTGGGCCCAGACTGGGTGTCCCAGCCTTCTCAAATCCTTAACTTCCAGGCTCATCTTTGTGATCTCTTTGCCAGTAGTCAGTGTAAAGTGACCGCTCAGCAATCAAGGCTCTCTACCAGCAGAAGCTAGAGCATATATTTTCTGAAATGGCCCTTCAGCAATGAAGTTGCTCTCCCTGGGCAGAAGGCCAATTCTTCCTTCTCTATGGCTATGTGTTGTGGCGGCCAGCCTAGTGGACACTGGCTAGGGATCACAGAACACACTGGCTGTAGACTGTTTGAACATAGCTAATATAATCTAACTGGTCCCAAGTAAGAAGCCAACCCACAAGATGGAGTGTTGTCAGTGTTCCCAGATATGGGGAGCAAAAGACTCTTGTCTAATACTGTCCTGTCATGTTTATTGCTGGTAGTCACAAAATGATTTCTTTTCATGCCAGTCCTGGGGCTTGAACTCAGGGCCTGGGTACTGTGCCTGAGCTTTTGTACTCATGACTAGTGCTCTAGCTCTACATTTGAACCACAGCTCCTGGTGTTTTGGTACTTAATTGGAAATAAGAGTGTCATGAACTTTCCTGCCCAGCATGACTTCCAACCATGAGTCTCAGGTCTCAGTCTTCAGAGTAGCTAGGATTGTAGGGGAGAGCTACTGGTGCCCAGCTAATTTTCTAATTGTATCATTCCTCCTCATTGACCATCTTGCATTACTACATTACAGGAGAGCTCCCTATCTTTTTAAGTATTTAAGTATCACAATGCAATAGTGGATTCTTCACATTATTTGTACCCTATTAATTTTTTCCAGTTTTTTATTGTTCTTGTAGAATTGATACACAAAGGGGTACAGTTACATGAATCAGGAATGAGTCATGAGTACAATTCTTTTTGAGCATGTCTGTAGTTCAGTTACTCTCTCCGGGCCTATTATCAATTGTTTGTATATGCACTGCAAGGACCAAAGCTAGTCTCTCAAATGTGGCAGGCAAGGACTGTATTATTGAGCTGCATACCTAGCTTTCTTTATTCTGTGTGTGTGTGTGTGTGTGTGTGTGTGTGTGTGTGTGTGTGTGCGTGTGTGCGTGTGCGTGTGTGCGTGTGTGCGTGTGTGTGTGTGTGTGTGTGTGTGTGTGTGTGTGTGTGTGTGTGTGTTGGCATGTGTATGAGCCCCCATCCTGGGTCTTTAAACTCACTGGAGAGGCACAAGTCTAGAGCTTTTTAAAATTTTTTCTCAAGGCTGGTGCTCTACTACTTGAGCCATAGCTCCACTTCTACATTTTTTAGTGTGTAGAGATGAGAGTCTTACAGACTTTCCTATCCAGACTGGCTTCGAATCTTGATGCTGAGTTCTCAGCCTCCTAAGTAGCTTGGATTATAGGCATGAGCCACAAGCCTCCTGCCTTTTCACTCTTGTATATGCTCAGATTGTCTCTAGCCAATATGATCCTTTCTTTTTTGGTTTTTTTTTTGGGGGGAGGGAGGGTCCGGTCATGGGGACTTAACTGTGGGCCAGGGCACTGTCTCTCAGCTCTTCAGCTCAAGGCTAGCACTCTACCACTTGAGCCACAGTGCTACTTCTGGCTTCTTTTTTCCTGCTTATGTGGTGGTAAGGAATCGAACTCTGGGCCTCGAGCATGCCAGGCAAGCGCTCTACCACTGAGCCACCTTCCTAGCCCTGATCCTTTCTTTTCTAAGCAGATAATATGGAGTATCTAAGCTGTTTTGATGCCCTGTATAATTTCTAATATTTACCACTTGGAACAGAAATTGAGGCAGTTGCCGGGTACCAGGGCTCATGTCTGTAATTCTATCTTCTCACGAGGACAAGATCTGAGGCTCTCTTAGTGCAAGGCCAACCCGGACAGGAGAGTCTTTGAGACTCTTATCTCCAATTAACCACCAGGAAAGTGGAAACGGCATTGCTGCTCTAAATAGTAGAGCACTAGCATTGAGCTGAAGCACTCAGGGACACCTCTGAGGCCGAGAGTGCAAGGCCTATAACCAAGGCAAGAAAGAAAGAAAGAAGAAAGGGAAGGAAGGGAAGGAAGAAAGGAAGGAAGGAAGAAAGGAAGGAAGGAAAGAAGGAAGGAAGAAATGAAGGAAGAGAGAAAGAGAAGGAAAAAAAAAATTGAGGCAGGGAATTCTGAGTTTGGGAGCTTTGCAAACTCTTCTTAGAAGTCTTCTTCCTTCCTGTGCACTCACCACCCAGAGGCCTTTGTATTAATAGGAAATGCTTCTGAGATAAACTACAAATCTAGGCCTCTTGGTTCTAATCTATTACCTCAGTTTGAGTCAGAACCACATCACTCCTACGCTTAACCTTCTACTGCGCCCCTCAGTCTTCCTTCCTGTTCCTTTTCAAACATTAAAGAGCAGAAGTTTACCAAAGGGTTCCTCTTCAACTGTTCAGGCCATGTTCCTCAACAGCTCTTTTCTGAACAAGTGAAAAGAGTTATTGGGTGAGCAAATGCAGCAGTTGTACACATTAGCCATTATGTTGGAAATGAACTATACCACCGGTGGGTAGAGGCAGAGGGAAAAGCTGGAAGAGAGTGAGGAAAGGGTCGATACTGCCCAATAAGAATGTACTCATTTCTGAGTTATGTAATTGTAATGGAAGGACATGCCTCTCCCCTCATGGCCCAATCATTTTATGTATCTGAAGATGGAATATGAAGGATTGACCTCAACCCTATTGTTCCAGGCACAATCAGACACAGGCAAAACCCCTGGTATGCACAGACCTGCTTGATGTGCAGGGAGGGCAATCCACCTAAGCTCAGCTGTAAATATTCCATTGTGGGCCCACCCGAAAAGCACCCAACTCCCTAGTCCTAATGGATTTTTCATTAACCTCTGACTCCTTGCTCAGGCCCCTACAAACCTGATGTCAATTTACCCCCCACACAACCTCCAATCCCACGAGAAGGTCTGTGACTATCGCTGACAATAAACAGTCCTCGCCTGTTGGCGACTGAGTCCAGCCTATGCCTTATACCTTCTCCTCCATTTCCTAACAGTAACCTCTCTATACACCACTTTTATAATAACAATATAAAAGCCTAAATACAAAAGTTATATTAACTATAAACATAAAAAATAAAAAAAAGAAAAGAAAGCTCAAACCAAGAAGGGGAACAATGGAGTTAATGGCGTTTCATTGGCTCTTCTACCACTCCGGAACCCCTTCTCCATTAACTTAATTCTCAACGTTTCCATTTATAGGGTCTTGCCTCACAATATGGCCAGCTGCCTCTGCCAATTTAAAAACAATATTGAGGTTATCTGCAAGACAGTCAAGCTACATTGTGACAGTGACTTGCTGACAAACAACACACACTGCCGTGAGTCTGTTTGCATTTTTACTTCTCCCTGGTGATGATTTGTAAATTAATAATTGCTTTCTTTTTATTCATTTATCCAGAGCTAATCTCTACATTTCTGAACTGTTCTCTTGATGAAGGTCCTGTTTTCAGGAGTTATTGTGTAATTCAATCATTTAATTGCCCATATGCATAAGAACCAAGAGAAGGGAATGCAAGAAGAAAGGAGATTATCAAGGGCCACGTTGCATGTACTGTGGTCTCTGCTTGGTACTCTGCCTTCCAATAATTTTATTCAGATGGTGCAAAGTAGACTGTAAGATTCTTTGTCTCAAGTATTCTTTATCTCTGTGACAAGTGCAGCTAGGTTCTGCTGTGTTTTCTTAAACAGAAGTGATGTTGTCTTATTTGGAGCCTTTGAATTTCCAATTTTCTACCCACCAGTTGTTACCTAGCTTTCATAACCAATCAAAGGCCTCTTCCAGGTCTAGACTGTCCAACTCTGAACGTGCTTCATCTCAAGCTTTCCTACCCACAGAATATCCCTTTGTTTTGAAGCATTTTTCCCTGTATATTACTAGATTTAACTTTGTGACTTCCAAAACATGACAGATTTGAATATAGGTTTCCACTGGTGATGTAGGCCAAAAAGTATATAACACTCTGTTACCATGTTGCTTAGTTATCAAAACAATTTTTAATTAATACCATTATTTCCTTCTCTATCAGTGATAGGCAAGCAAGGATTTTTTCATCTTTTATAGCTGAGGGAAATTAGTTCAGAGAAGTCAAGTACTATAGCTTCATGCCCAAGTCTTGAAAGCCTCAAATCTGGACTTACCAGAAGCCAAAGTTCCTCTTTTCCCACCATCTAACCTCCTTCTGTGACCGACCTCGCTACCAAGAAAAGAGCTTTAATTCTCCTAGGCACTGGATGAAACACTAATAAGTGTTTATGTTCTCTGATTCTTTGGATGCTTCCCAAGTAACACTGGAGAGTTTGAAGTGAAAAGGAGCTTTTTCAGCTCCATGCTGTAATTTATGCCAATCACCACAGCTACTCAGAAGGGAGAGATAAGGGAGATCATGGTTCCAAGTAAGTCTGGGAAAACATTTGGCAAGACTTCATCTCAACCAGTAAGACAACTGTGGTGGTATATGTCCCTGATCCTAAGAGGGAAGCTATAAACAGGAGAATTGATGTTAGAGACCAGCTTGAGCAAATAAAACCAGAAAACCCTAACCAAACAGTAACTAAAGCAAAAAGGACCAGGTGTGGGACTTGAGTGGCTGAATGCCTCCCAAACTAGCAAGCTCAAAGTCATGAGTTCAAATCCCAGTAATGCACAACAAAAATGTAGGTTTTCTTTTGCATGTTTTAGAATACCAAGTCATATTTATGCAGAATTGCTATTACTCTATTGATTTCTTACTGATTGTGCATTAATATACAACCAGGATAACTGAAAATTGCTTAACATACCCCAACCCCATGTCCAAATTGTAGAGTCTACTATTAGGGAAGCAGGACATATAGAATCAGAGCTCAAGTGAAGGTACTGGGAAGGTAGGTGGGAAAGAAGTCCAGTTGAGTACCTGTTGTTAAAAGGAGATGGACCTCTGGATTAGCCTCTGCCCTGGCTATCCTGAGGACCATCCTTTGTCATGGTTTCTGGTGTGGTAGAGTTCCTATATTTCACGCAAATTAGGTCCTCAGGTGTTCCGAGTAGGTAATTACTTTGTTCAGGCTTGTCTTTTTCTTTCATTCCTGGGACTAAGTCACACCTACTATATATAGAAAGACAAGCAATATGATGAAGAAAAACAGCCATGAAAAAATTTTCCCATGTATAGAACATTTAAGAAAGGACAGCTTTGAGACTTAGGTTCCATGTGAAGGAGCTAGGCTTAGCTGGTTGGGATTATGAATATGCTAGCCAAGACTGTCTTCTTTTAATACAATGGAGCTTCTCAGTACCTCTGAAAGTGTACTGGTAATAGTTTGTCTGAAAATATTTTAAAAATATGCTTACTGCTCAACCCAGTTTGTTGAATTTCTCTTTATTGCAGCTGTCTTTACAAGAAATGACTTACAGGCTGCTGGGAAGTTGGATCAGTGGTAGAGTGCTTGCCTTGCATGCATGAGGCCCTGGGTTTGATTCCTCAGCACCACAAAAGCAGAAAAAGCCAGAAGTGGCGCTGTGGCTCAAGTGGTAGAGTGCTAGCCTTGAGCTGTATAGCTGAGGGACAGTGTCCAGGCCCAGAGTTCAGGCCCCACGACCAACAAATTAAAAAAAATGAATTACGTAGCTGGGTACAGTGGTCCCAATTTGTAATCCCAGTTACTATGAAGGCAAAGGTAGGGAGGATCACAGTCCAGGTCAGTGGGTTAAACTTGCCTCAAAGACTTGGCCTGTTTCTAGCTTCCCCCCCGCCCCCCCCCCCCCCCCCCCCCCCGCCCCGTACCCTCTGGGCACAGGGTTTTCTGACCACTCTCCCAGGCCAAGCCCAAGGTTACATTTGATCTCAGTACAGGGCTATACCTCCCTCATCCTGCCCTTCCACTGGGTCCAGGGCCCTGCTCTTCAGTATCTTTCTGTACCAATTGGAAAAAACAATGCCACTTCTTCCATGAGAAGTTTAAAGACAACACCCTCCAAAAAACAATCACTCCTAGCTAATTTGAATCCAGTCTCCAAATCCATCTCTGTAGGGGGGAAGGCTTCCTAGAAAGTTAAAGCCCTACACTGTGTGAGAAAACTAAGCCAGGAAATTGACCCTTGACTAAAAAGAGAGAGGCCTTAAAGGAGACCTTAAAACGTACTATCTCATACCCTGCCTAATTAGAAAGGCACCTGCTGTGCAACTTGTGCATCCCACCCAGTGACTGATTGCCTCCTGCCTCAAGGGTGTAGATGCTTCGCACAGTGTGTATCCTCCTCCTATAGCTATTATTGTAATAATTCTCCTGTAACTTTGTAACAATCCCAGGCTTCAGTGATGTAGGGGCATATGTCATTATCTTTCTGAAATGTACAACCCCTTGCTTTGCAGTGAGTGCCTTCATAAACTAAGCCCTATTGCTGGTTCAGGGTCACAGTTACAGCTCTGGAGACTGTGCTGTGTCCCAAGCCAGTCAGTTCTCAGCACTCTAATAAAGTTCCCAGTCCCCCACTTTACTCTCCATGGTGGATTCCTTCCCCCGCCGCAACTGTTACAATCTCCAAAATAACTAGCAAAGTATGACCATATGAGATGTTAAGCAAAATATACCCCAAGATGGGAACACAAGAGGTTTTTTCTTTTCTCTCTTTCTTGCTAGTGTTTTTCATGTACTTACAATACACTATGTGATTCTTTTGTTTCTATTGTATGTTCTTCTCCCATGGTATAACCCCTGTTTTCACTGGATTTGATGCTGGTGTTCTGCCCCTTGTGTATATATTTTTGTAATGTGGGGAGGGGAAAGGATATGGCAGAACGCATAAATGAGGACGCAGGCTGACCCATTGTGACAAAGAGATGTACAGGACACGATATTGAAAGTGAATTCTACAATGTCTGGGTTGGAGGGAGGCAGGAGAAGTTGGGATGGTGGAAGAAAATAAAGGAGGAGGTAAAAATGCTAATGCTCGCTATGAAATCTACTCATGATCCTATTCATGTAACTGTCACCCCTCTGTACAATATTTTTTTTTTTTGGGTCCAGTCATGGGGCCTGAACTCTGGGCCTGGGCACTGTCCCTCAGCTCTTCAGCTCAAGGCTAGTGCTCTACCACTTGAGCCACAGCACCACTTCCGGCTTTTTCCTTTTTGCTTATGTGGTGCTGAGGAATCGAACCTAGGGCCTCACACATGCAAGGCAAGCGCTCTACCACTGAGCCACCTTCCCAGACCTCTGTACAATATTTTTACAATAAAAAATAAAAAAAAGAAATGTGGCTGGAGTTATAAAGCACCAACTAAACAAGAGGAATAAACACAAAATCCTGAGTATACAGAGCAGTACAGACAAGGCAATCATTTCTTCTAGATCCTTTATCATCTCTAATGTGCCATGGTGTCCTTGTGTAAAATCAAATGAATTTTTTTTTTTTTTGTCGGTTGTGGGGCTTGAACTCTGGGCCTGGGCGCTGTCCCTCAACTCTTCAGCTCAAGGCAAACGCTCTACCACTTGAGCTACAGCGCCACTTCCGGTTTTCTGGTGGTTTATTGGTGATAGGAGTCTCACGGTCTTTCCTGCCCGGGCTGGCTTTGAACCGCGATCCTCAGATCTCAGCCTCCTGAGTAGCTAGGATTACAGCCGTGAGCCACCAGCGCCCAGCTCAAATGAATTTTTTGCTTTATGGAAAATTCCATTGTATATATTACTTGGTACAGTTGGAAAGTGCCATGACTAGTTTAAGGCTGTGTTCAATCAAGGTAAAATAGGGATGTTTTTCTCAGGCTCATGTCAGGGGCTTGTCTCAGAATCAAACCTTGACTGAATACCCTGCCCCACTGCCTGACCTGTACCTGTAGATATTTTAGAGTCATCACTGATTCTATGGTAAACCCAGCTAGCTGAATGGTGGATTACCAACCATGGAACAAGGTGATGAAACTTCAGAGGAAATGGCAACACTGTGGGATCAAATCATAATGTGTATTCTCAGGCTCACCACGCAAACCGGCTCATTCTTTTCTGGAAGCCTACTACCGTGGGAAGGAAGAAAATCTCAGATTTTAGCATGGAAGAAAAGGACTTTAAAGCTCCCAGAATTGCACTTGCTTTTTACGTAACTCCAGAGGTGTTTTACTTGGGAAGGTCTGCTTTGCCCCTGAAACATGAGCTGCTGGCTGCCTTCTGGGGATATCCAGGTCTGCAGCCAAAGCCTGCCTAGCTGTGGAGCAGGGGCCCTATAGGAAGAAGTGGTCCCTGCTCTCAGGAAGAGAAGATCCAGTCCCTGGCAGATACAAGCCTAAGCCTTTCTGTTTTATGAACAAAGCTGTCAGTGCCATAAGCAAACATGTCATAAAGTGGGTGGGGAAGGAAACTCAGGGCCCCTAGATAAAAACCACCCCAGGTTAGAACCTACCATAGTGTTTTATTCCCATGTTTTTAGCAGTGACTTAGCATACCATATCCCTATTGCCTACAATGTCCCTTTTGCCCACTATGTCGCTAACCCATAGCTCTGTAGTAAAATATGCATTTCTTCTTTTGCAGATGTGTCTGCTGTTTCCGGCCAGGCCAATTCTACACTGGGCCCAGGATCAGTTCTACCCTAGGTCAAATCCTGATGGAGGTAGTAAGGCTGTATTCATCCTCTTTACAGATCCCACCTGAACTTTCATCTAAGAAGGGACAATTAGACTTAGTAGGGTCCTCTGCTCCATCTCAGCTTTTTGGTGACACTCAGGAGCCAACTGAGACCAACACAGATTCTGCAAGACAGCTATCTCCTGGCTCAATGATGTTACTGTTTTTCATCAAGACACACCAGGCAAGATGAATCTGCAGCACAGACTCCCACAGATGGTGCCAGTTCTTGGTGAGAACCAGGCCCGTCCTCTGCCTCATCCACTCAAAGATATCATGTAGAATGTTGCTCTAGCAGAGACTTCAGAGCACCTCACACTTGAAATACCTGTTCTGAAACCTCTGTATACTCATAGGGAGGTTTAAGTAGGTAGCCATTAAAGAGAACACCATGTGCTTTCAGACAGGAAGAGAAGTTTAGTTTAGAGAAGTGCTTGCCACCGGCCATGCAAGGTGAAGACCACCTGGCCTAAAGAAGGGGCCAGCTGAGGTCTAACCTGGATTTAAGTAGGGAGGGGAGAAGGTGAGGCCATACTGGATGCAGATATGATCTCAGAGCCTGGGACCCTCCCCTGGTCCCATGGGGAGTTTGGAGGGGGGCAGGTTCTGCCCAGGATGTGACCTCCAGGTGTGTCAGTTACCTAGATGACACAGGCACTGGGCAGAGACTTAGCCAAGAGGAGGGAGGAGCCTGCCTCGCCTTCCCAGGGCAAACCTTACATTCCAGCCTTTTGATAATGATGAAACAGGGCACAGATTCTCTCTGGCTACTTCCTGCTGGAAAGGGGGTATCGACATTGGGGCAAAAGGCAGAGATGTGGTCCTTTCTGGAAGAAGGCAGCAGGTAGCAGCTGTCCCTTGATGATAATCCTGAGATGAAGTCTGGAAGAAGTTTCATGAGGAAGGAGCTGGGCCAAAAATTAGAGAGCACACAAAAGGTAACCAAGGAAGGAATATAAGTTTTTGTCTAGTTAGAAGGTAGACAGGTATGGACTTGAGACGGGCAAGTGTATTTCTATGGACCTCCCGGCTCCCGGTTATTTTTTAAAGGCTGACACAAAGTGGCTGATGCAACATCATTTCCTCTCACTCCTCTCCCTTATTTCCTGGACTGGCGGGGTCCCAGGGGTCTCGGTGCTTTTGCTGGGATAGATTGTCCCAGTTGGCATTCACAGGCTTTGAACTCAAGGCCTGGAAGCTGTCCCTGAGCACTTCTGCTTGAGGCTAGCGCTCTTCCACTTTGAGTTACAGTGCCACCTCCAGCCTTTGGCTGGTTAGACATTAGAGTCTCTTGAGCCATGCCTATGGCTTGGCTCTTTGCTGGTTAGTTGGGAGGTGGAGTCTCAGAGGAATTTTTCTGCCCGGGCTGGCCAACAAGTCTTTGCCACAAACCCCCCTTTGATTTCCTATTAACAGGAGACCCACAGAAATAATGAGCAGAGCTTACCTGTAACCCGGTAAGAATTGCCCAACACCAACTTGTACAGTTATTTCTCTGTGGGTCTGGCTAGATACTGCAAGGAGGAAAATCTGTAACAACTCACTGGACATGATGAAAGTTTTTGTAAGCTTTCAGGCGAGGAAAGAACACGCAGGAGAAGGTAAAGGTGAACAATTGGGTATGCTCCCAGGCCAACTCCCTTCAGGATCAGAGAGGTGGCACAGAGTCTCATTGTAGCAGGGTTTCTATGGCCAGGATCAGCAGGAAGTTTTAGCACTGAACTTGTTTTGCAAGTTTGAGCAGTTTCAGGCCCATGACTCCAAAGAGGATTGGGACAGGTGGTGTATACAGAAGTGGTTTGGCTTTTCTTAGCTGCCGCTACCCACCAGTGGCCTGACATTCTGGCATTTTTGGTTTGGTAATAGGGTGACGATAGTCATCTGGCTACTTCCTGCTGGACAGGGGCGTCGTGGGGCTGTATGCCAGTTATCTAGGATGCCGGAGGGGTAGTTGGCTGGTGAGTGTTTGGGTGGAGAAGAAGCTGATTAACTGTCCCTCTGGTCATTTCTTGGATGTGGCTCTGGATGAACCTCAAGATGCATGGGGCAAGTAGAAAGAAAAGGCAAATTAAAATTAATGGGCCTGAAGAAAAGACAAATTAAAAGTAATGGGGGCTATGGAACCAGTCCAGAATAGGCCCCTGGATTGCTGTTTGAACTCCTCTTTTAGCTTCTTTAGGGCCTCAATACTTTGTTCTACCAAACCTGACTCATTGATGTAATAACAACATTCATTGTTCCTGCAAGAATAGGCAGGTCCTACCTTTTTTAGCCATTAGGAGGTCTCCGTGTTGGCACTTTTGAAGAGCAACCTGTGCCAGGGAGGGAAGCTGGCGCTGGAGTGAGGGTAGAGGTACTGAGGTGGATTCCATGGCCACCTGGAGTTTATCTGAAAGTTCCTGAGCTGAGACCAGGCTATGTCTTAGGGTCCAAGAAACCTGTTGAACCACTTAGGAAATAAAGGGTGGGCCATTATCAAATTAGAGGGAGGAGGGGAGGCCAAAGCAAGGAATAATATCTGAAAGTAAAAATGGGGTTACAACTCCTGCTGTCTCTTTGGGAATTGGAGAGGCTTCACCCCACCCTGTGAGGGTGTCTGCCAGGGCAAAAAGGTACCACATCCTTTTGTGGGTGGCATATGGGTAAAATCAACGTGCCAGTCTTGGCCAGGCAAATAGCCCGACATTTGGTGGGTTGTAAAGGCTTGCCTAAAGTCCCCTTTGAAGGGTGGTGGTGGAGAATGTAAAATGTGCCTGAGCGGCAGACTCAACTATTCTAGAAAGCTGAGGGTGATAGAAGTGGGGCTTTAAAAAAAAAAACAGTCCCTTAGGCTCAGCATGCAGTGAGGAATGAACCTGCTGGATGAGGGTTTGTAGCCTGGGCCAGGGGCAAGGCCAAGTTATTTCCCACAAAGATCCATGCCTGTTCTCCATCTGTGCCATTCCCCCCTACTTTTTTTCTGGTCAGTTGTGGGGCTTGAACTCTGGCCCTGGGCACTGTCCCTCAGTTCTTCAGCTCAAGGCTAATGCTCTACCACTTGAGTCACAGCACTACTTCCAGATTTTTCTGTTTATGTGGTGCTATGGAATCAAACCCCGGGCCTCACGCATGTGAGGTAAACACTCTACCACTGATCCACCTTCCTAGCCAAGTGCCACTCTTCTCCTATAGAAGAATGTATCCTGACAGGGAATACTGAGCGGTCAAATGTGGGACCTGTAAAAAAAAAAATGGGGACTGCCTCGAAAACCCTGGGGAGGCACCGTCCAGGTCAGCTGATTTGTCTGAGAGGTGTTTGGATCCTCCCATGTGAAGACAAACAGAATCCAACATGCCAGGTCCAAGAGAATGGTAAAGAAAGCATCCTTAAGATCCAACACAGAAAAATGGGTCATAGAAGGGGAAATATGGAAAAGGCGGGTAGATGGGTTGGGAACTACAGGGTGTATGGGCACCACAGCCTCATTAATGAGATGAAGGTCCTGTACTAATCAGTAGGAGCCATCCGGTTTGCAGATAGGCAAAATAGGGGTGTTATAAGGTTAGTTGGCACCAGGAGTCCCTTCCTTTTCAAGTACTTTCTTATCCAGAGGAAACCAAATTTTCCCCAATTCCTTTCCCAAGACTTTCTTAACTACCCTCTTTAGAATTCCTTGAATTCCATTCCCAAGGCTGTCTCTACTACCCTCTTTACAATTTTTTTTTTTTTTTTGGGGGTCTGGTTGTGGGGCCTGAACTCTGGGCCTGGGTGCTGTCCCTCAGCTCTTCCGCTCAAGGCTAGCGCTCTACCAATTGAGCCACAGCGCCACTTCTGGCTTTTTTTTTTCTTTTTGCTTATGTGGTGCTGGGGAATCGAACCCAGGGCCTCATGCATTGCAAGGCAAGCACTCTACCACTGAGCCACCTTCCCAGCCCTCTCTTTACAATTTCTTGAGCTTCTTTGTGGCTACAATATTTTCTTTGGTTTGTGGAACTGGGTTATTTCAGAACTGCCTCAGGACATCGCTTGGGTGGAGAAGTTTGCTAGATTTTAAGGCTAAGAGCAGGGCTGGGTCTCATTCCTCTTAGTACCTCCATTGCATATATCAGGCAAGTAAGAGGGCCCTTCACTGGTGGCTGGGAGGGAAGTCCCTCAACTCCCATAACTGAGACCTGTGAAGGAATTGGGGGGCCCGAGTAGGAAGGGAGGACCAAATAGGTAGCCCCCTTATCATTGTCCAAAAAGGAAATGGCCTTTCCCGCTACCTGGATCGTTACCCTAGGCTGGAGGAGGGTGATCGGGGACAGCGAAGCACGGCATCCTCAGTCTTCAGCGGCCAGACCCAAGCCCAAAGGCAGCAAGTCAGGGGAGGGAAGGACTGTACCCCCGTGGCTAGGCGTAGAGGGGCAGTCAGGCTTCCAGTGTTCCTTCTGATCACACAGTAGTCATGGTGTCTGAGGAGGACCGGGTTTAGGGCATCGCCTTACCCAGTGCCCCTCCCGGCCGCATTTGAAGCAGGGTCCAGGTGGTTGGTGCTTTTCTCCAGAACCATGCGTTGTACGTGGCTTCAGGGCAGTGACCAGAGCTTGGGCTTGGTAGGCCACCTTTTGGTGAGAGGTGGCTTCCCTATCAGTCTTTTCCTGTTCCTTATGGGCATGGAATACTTTAAAGGCCATGTTCACCAGGTCACCCATGGTGTTTGAGGGCCATCCTCAGCCTTTTAAAGTGTTTTCTTTATGTCTGGCGCTGACTGAGAAATAAAATGAGAGGCCAAAAAGCTGGCCCAAGGCGGAGAGGTGGGGTCCACGTGGGTGTACTTAGTCAGGGCTAGAAGTCTAGCTAGAAAGGCAACAGGGTTCTCTTCCCATAGTTGAGTAATTTTCCACAATTTGACAAAGTTCATCACCTTATGGGAGGCTGCCTATAATCCAGCCAAAAGGCTCTGAATCATTTTATGTCTACGTAAGCCATTGCAATCCTCAGCTGTATCTATCTGGTATTGCCAATGAGGGTCCTGGCTGGGGACTGCCTCAGTTCCCACGGGCATGTTTGTGTCTCTAAGGTGGATCTCGTTCTCATGAACCTTTGGCACAGGCCTGACCAACTGCCTCATGCTCCTCCATAGTAAGAGCAGTGGAAAGCATACCAGGGAGATCATGCCAGATGAGAATATTAGACCCTTGGCCCGGTGGGGTCAGATGGTGCATAGGGTGGTGGATGGGCCACAGAAAACAGAGTCAAGAGGGTCAGGA